GAAAGTGCTCTAAAGGATATAACTCCATGTATATTTAAGCATATAAGATAGATAATCATATTACTGAGTTTTTGTTGGATCATTGGATATTACTGTTTGCAGTCTCACTGTTTCAATGTCCACTTTATATGCTTTAATTTTGTAACTTGAACAACGATTTCTAAGATAACAATATGTAATCTATTAACTAGTGATTTCCTATTGTTTATTTTTTTTGAAATTCCGTGTAACTTGTACCCTTTCTCTGTTTTTTCTTTTTTTTCTTAAATAAAATTTTAAAAAATCATGCATTATATAAATACAATAAATGCAAATCTGTAGTTTAATTTTTTCTCACTTTAGCACGTACTACTAATGAATGTGACTCAGACACACGTGACCTCTACAGTAAATTTTTGGACCACAACCTCTGGAAGGCTAATACAGAGCTTGACATGATAACCTTTTACTCTCTTTGCACAGAATAGATGAGATATATGTGTTTTTAAAATAAGAATTGAAAAATGGCTGATATATCAAATTCAAAAGTAACTGAATTGGCCATATAATTAATTGAAAAGATGACTTAAATAGACAATACTTCAGACTACAGTTTGTTTGTTTGTCTGTCTGTCGAGATGAGGTCTCACTGTGCAGGTTGGCCCCACATTCATGGCAATCCTCCTACCCTAGCCTCCTGAATACTGGGATTACAGGTATGCACCACCACACCCAGTTTAGACTACAGCTTTTAAGGATCAAAATATATGATATATTTTGATATATCTTTTATATTTTGAAATAGATGATATAAAAGTGTATAGGGAAATTTGCAAATGCTAAAAAAGTAAAAGGTAGTATATAATTTTCTATAGTGTTTGGGATCACTAAAGGATGGGAGAAGAAAAATAATCTGAGAATTTCTATACTCATTAATCCCTTCAACTGTAAGGTAAACTGCTTACTAGAATGAGATGCTCAGGGATGCTGTGAAGATTAAACTGAATGATGCTAGTAAAGTATTTAGAACACAGTAATAAGAGAAACATATACTTATCTAATTTGTTCCTACAATGAAAGATGCTCTAAGAAATGAGGACCTAAAAACATGATGGGTAAATTAAATCCAAATTAATCCAGATTTTCTACGGTTCAAGTGTTCACAACGAACACTGCCAGGTTAGTTTATCTTCTCATTCTCATTTTATAAAAATGAACATCAAACAATACTGGAAATGGATGGACATCAATAAATACTGAAAGGCCCAGAAAGATATCAGGAAGGATAATGCGAAAGCTTGGATAAGGCAAGCTTTTCTAAAATGAATTTCCTCAGGACTTAATGCCTTCTTCATTCCCAACTGCACAAATGGCTGACTCAAAATGAAAAACTATTAAGTCTTTGTTCAGTGCTTTCTTATTTATTCTCCTTGATAAGGATAATAATTTAAATAACTGTATCAATAAAGTTTAACCTAATCACCAGTTTCCTATTTCTTACAGCATATTTACTGGAAAACATTCCTCAAAATAGCTAAGTTTATGCAACAACTGTTTTGAAGGCATACAATGTACTTCAAATTTATAAATATGAATATTCAGAGCATTCTTTAAAAAAACATATGGAATAGACATTAGCTGTGCATCATGAAAAGCAAAATGGATAGAAAAAACCAAGATTCAAAAAGTTACATTCAACTGTTAGTTCACTTTATGTTTTCATTAGCTCAGTTAAAAAGAAAAAACCTTGATACTGACTTTTGGGACTCTAAATAGTTTTAATAAAATTGGTATGCTTGAAATTTCAAAAAACATCATCAATTGTTCACAAAATTATATCCAGTAACCATACCAGTTTTACTTTTTTGAGGAACTTTTTAAATGCAATATTAAAACTACTTTTTACCCTCTCTTAGGGTACAATATGGCTGAAATGCTAAAAGTTAAAAATTATGCAAGTGTAATATCTACAAAATTAGCTCATACGCTCAAATTACTCCAAGCAGAATCCGGATAACATTCTTTGGTCAATGACAGTTTCCAATCATAATTTCTTTGCCTGCACTACTTTTACCCTGAGTTTCTATTCTCAAGAAGAACCCCCACATGTAGGAAGAAGTGTGGAGAGACAAATCTTAAGTATTTTAATTCTGTTATTGATTTCTATATATAAAAATTTTGGTTAAAATGCATCTTCAGTGGTACTTTTAAAATCTGAGCTTTTAAGAATCATGTGGTAGGGCAACCTATCCAGGACCCCTTTTGTCTCACTTAGAAGCTTTCTTTCCCCCAGTAAATATTTTCTGCCCTTAACTTCTGTTGTTTCTAAAATTCATTCTTCAATTTTAGAGAACACAAACTCAGCAATCAGACATGTAGCAGGTTGGGAGTCTTAGTTTCCATATATTATATGAAGGTCCTATATCCTATGCCCTATATTATTTGGAAGTCTCCTACTGAGATAAATTTTGGAAACAACCCAAATGCCCATCATCTGGTGAATGAATAAAGAAGATGTGGGTTTTTTTTTTAAATACAATGAGTGCTAGTCTGCCATAAAGAAAGATAAGCCTGAGGTATTTCTAGTGATTCAACTACCAAAACAACCCTGACTGGTAAGAAATAACAGTCCCCTGGTTATAATTCATATTTCAAAGTACTTGATTACCAGGTAAAATTATACTAGTTAAACCCACCACTCCCATTGCAATACTGCTGTAACTGACCTTCTCTTCTGGGTGTTCAATAACTGAAGTTTGGAGATCAGAACTAAAAGGATCCTACAACTTTGGTGAGTCACCCAACCTCCTGAGGAGGAAAGACTGCTGGACCTCAGAGGACAAGAATCAACAAATATACTGTGTGCCAAAGTAGGCTGAGACAGGAGGACTGCTATGAGTTCAGGTTGAACTTCACTGAGCAAGTTCAAAGCCATACTGCACTACACAGTCAAGACTCTGTCTCAAAACAAAAAAACCAAAACCAAAATGAGGTTTGGAGAAGGATGATCACCAAAAAGGAAAAAGTCTCTCATGGTTTCACAGAAATAAAAATGGTCAAGCAAGTCCATGAATCATCCTGATAGCTAACACTGAGAAGGGGAGCTAAGAGGCTCTGTACATGGTTCCAAAATAATGCCTAATAAGACACAACTGACTTTGATAGACAGCAAGGTTAATGCTGATTAACACAGGTTTTACTTTAACTTGGTCTTAAACATTCAGCCACAAAAGTATAACTAAAGATGTATGAAAACAATACCATAGTACTAAAAGCTAGATATAAAAAGGGGCTCTAATCACTGTTCTGTGCTGGCAGTTTCCAGCTACACTGGCAGCTGACAGCTGTTATGGTCAAGTGAGGCTAAAAAACTCTGGTGCAAGCTATAGAAGCTCAACGAGAGTCTTTAAGTTCCTTAGTTAAAATTGTCTTTCAAAACTACGAAAGCAGCTCCTTCTTACAGCTGAAACTATAGAGACTTATGACAAGAAATATCTAGAGGGGTGTAAGAGCCTCCTAGTTACACTTGTTATTTCAGTCCTTTAAGTGCAGTTTTTGGACTTGGTTCCCTCCCTAACCTGCCTGCCTTTCCATTCTCAGGCTCATGCTTTGATTATACATGCTTTAATTATTCGGGAATTTGTTTATTTTGCCTAGATGCTGCCAAACTCCAAGGGATGTTACAGATGGAACCAACAACAAATGTGCCACACTCATTTTACAGGGATCCAAAATAAATCACTCTATCCTTTTTATATTCTCTTTCCCACCAGATCAATCTTGTAAAGAGTTCATAACTGCTAAACAATAACATGACTTCTATACAACAGCCCTTAGGGTAGCTCTCTGGGGAAGGACACTGACTGCCCTTGCCCCTACACCAACCTTCTCAGCTTGAAACAGCTAGATGGCAACTATACCTGCTATCTGGGAATATAGTAGACAGCTAAGTTATTTAGAAATATTACAGCTAAGTTATTTAGAAATATTACAGGCACTCAGACAGGGTTGAGCCTGACAAGAACATGCTACAACAGTGGCTGGAGGCATTTGTTGAAGGTCAGGCTTCAAGACAGGATGACTACACCCACATACTTCCCTTAGGGATGAACAGCAATGACTGCTATTCTAAATAAGCATCAATCACCTTGGGTGGAGGACTACAGCCTCCCTAGCCCATTTCTTTCCAGGAAGTTCTTGTTCATTTCATGTACACTCGCTTCCCCATTTGATCCCCATTTAATCAATATTACATAAATGATTATACTTGTAATCTTGTTAGTTCTTCATGGTTTTGTCTCACCTCACACTCACCTTGTGATTTCCCATTGGATCAATGTTTCCCAAGGAACTATACTTGTATTCTTATTAGTTAATTATAGTTTTGTCCCACCTTAGACACACCTCCTCACCTCGTGGCTTGGCTTTATAGAACTGCTTTGTGAAGTGGGCTCCCCAGCAACCTTAGGAACCCTTATGTCTCTCTTAGACATAAGCATTCCTTCAATAAATATTTTCTGCTCTTAAAACAATATTGTGTGGTACAGTGGCTAACACCACAGGCTCTAAGGTAGATGACTTATATGTTTGAACCCTGGTTTCACAGCTTTTTTTTTTTTGTACTGAGGATTGAACTCACGACCTCGCACTTGCCAGGCAGGCGCTTATGCCACTGAGCTAAATCTCCAAATCCACAACTCATTAACTGTGTGAGATCAGATTTGCTACACAGTTTCTATGTGCCTCTAAAATGGGACAATAACAGTACCTCTCTTACAGTTGGGAGATTAAATGAGAACAGTATTTATGGTACCCAGAATAGAGCCTGATAAATATGCTCAACAGTGCTAGCCTATTATTATTGTATTATTGTCTATGTAAGAATGTTATATTTATTACTACTATTACTTCTAAGACATTCTCAGACACTTAAAAATTGACTGAAGGTGTAGGAGTCTATCTGTAGTCTAGAACCACACCAAGAAACAGCAAGACACTGGTTCTCTGCAAGCCACACTCACCCCTTGTTCATCCAGTTTCATGAGCTGCTCGGTGACTTTGGGAGTGTTGAAAGCCAACCGCAAGCACTGGACATTGAGCTCAGGGATCACATGCTCCAGCACTTCTTTCAGCGGCAACCCTCTGGCAGTTGAGTGCTTTGCTGTTGAAGGAATGGCATCTTCTAAGACAGACCCTCTCAGTGTCATGAGCTGAATGAGAGAGAGAGACTAATGTGAGGTCTCATTGGAACATGGGATTACTGAAAATGTCACATTCACTGAAGACTGAGGTTTCTTACAGAACCGGGGGAATGACTTGTGGTTGGTAAGCCAACAAAGCAGAAAGAGTGAGAGAAGTGATTTAAAGTTACTATATATGATAAACAAGGCCAATAATTTCAAGAAATCCCACACAGATTCAAAAGAACTCATGATATAGTCTTCAAAGATATTTACCAGGGCTGGGGATTTAGCTCAGCAGCATAAACGCCAGCCTTGTAAGCAGGCAGTTGTGAGTTTGATCCCCGATACCGATAAAAAAGAAGAAAAAAAAAAAAAAAAAGATATTTACCAAAGTGCCAAGTAATAGTCCCTTTAAAAAGATCAGTAGGAACAAGATTTCTATAGGAGTACTCAAAAGGATACTAACCAGGAAGTTATCCCATGCAACATTTGAAGGATAAATACATTTAGATGTTACAAACCTTTAAATTTCTTAATACAGGACAAACAAGCACAAATTGTTCATATCCCAAATGCTGCTATTATATGACATTAATTATAATGCAGCACCAGTCAACATCATTGGACATTACATTTTTCCTTATTTCTTAAAATATCTTCCAATCAGGAAACACAAACTTAAGCAAAGACATTTCTCTATGTAATGATCTGTTGTGCAAAAGTTAACCATCCATGAAGCCTAAAGTCTTTTAATTTCTAAAACTTTTCATACGGCAATTTGTTAACATAATTTAAATACTGTTTGATGACATAAAAAATGCACCAAACTGAACAAATTTCCACGAAATATGTAGGTGTTCTGTTCCTCAACCTAACAGAGCAGTGCATGTTGAAAGGTTGATGTGGAATATGTAAGGGTGAGAGACAAAAAACAGATCCAACAGATCCATCAGTATACGGGGGAAAGATACATTTACTAAAGGAAACAAAAGCAAGACAATCCAAAGACAGGGAAAGCATCATCGTGGCTCAGGAGGTGAGGAGAGGCTCAAGGAGTGGCATTAGAAAGGAGCTGCAGAATATAGAAACAATTTCTACAGGAGGAAAATGTCAGAACATAAGCAAAGGTACAGAGGGGGAAAAATCAGGTGTTAAGTGGAACACAGTCATTACAATAGCTAGATTTAAGAGGCAAAAGGAGTAATGGTGAAGCTGTGAGCCTAAAATAGGGGCAGACCTTCAGCTGACTAAGGGAGATTACACTGCACTGACCACCTGGGTCATCTCAGGATGTGTTCAGATGGCGACAACATTGTATACTTTCAGAAATTTACTTGTCAAAGATGAAATGCAAGAAATAACTGAAGGAGACAATATAGTTAAGATAAAAGAGAAAAAAAGTGTGATACACAATTAACAAGAAAAATGAACACCAAAGGAAGAATTGCCCTGGAAGTAAAATCTGTCACATCTGCCAAATGATAGGCATCATAAGAAATAAGAGTAGGAAAAGCAAAAATTTTCAGTATCTTATTCTCAATACAAGAAAAGGCACTAGCGATATCTGAGGTCTATTCATTTGTATCTTTTCTTTTACTTAAAAGTGATTTCAAATAACATGCATAAAAGCCATTATTTTTCTATTACTTTATATCTAATTTGACAGAAAGTATTTTTGCTTTGGTTTGTTTTTAAATCATAGCAAACACTTGAAGAACTCAGTAACTACTGGGTTCTTCCTTTTATGAGGTAACATTTGCCTCTAATAGGATACTGAGAAAAGCTGGGAGTATTTTCAACTTAGAAGTCAAGACCAAAAATGCAAATCACTGTTATCTTTCACCACAGAAAGACAAAGTTGAATTGAAAATCAAAGCAGATGAGAAAATAATGACTCATCTTTACATCTAAATCACTAGCATTATGTACTGATATTTTTGTTAATAACTTTTTTTTCCTTTTTATTGTCTTTTTCATTTTTATTGGAACCAGGGATCGAACTCACAATCGCCTGCTTGCAAGGCAGGTGCTTATGCCGCTGAGCTAAATCCCCAGCCCCTTTGTTAATAACTTCTATAGCCAGGTATGGTGGTGCATGCTTGTAATTCCAGCAGTTGGAAGGCTGAGATACGAGAATCATTCCAAGTTCAAGACCAGCCTGAGCTACTAAGTTAGCTCAAGGCCAGCTTGAATTGTATAGCGAGACCCTGTCTGAAAAAAATTAATAAATAAACAACTTACTTCCAGAAACAAGGAGCTAGTCTCCAAAAATTTTTGTACTCCCATGTTTAAAAATATGTATGAGCTATATGATTGTTCCTAAAACCCCATAACTATAAATGTAGGTGGCCTTTTTTTGTTTATGCTCTGCAATGAGTACTTCTACTGAAGTAAGAGATTTACTTATATTCTGTTAACTTGATGCCATTTATTGAAGACAGTAACTACTCACTACGATGGCCACCTTTCTTTTCCCCTCAATGTATGTAACTCATGAGAAGCCCCTAATACAAATTAAATGCTATTCCACTATATATCTAGGAAATTCACTTCAAAGAAACAAATGAACAGGGTATTCTACAAAATCCAGGAGTTATGGATATGGACCAACATTTTTAAATGTTCTAAGAAAGCCTTACATAAAGATACTAAAGTTAAACTATATATTTAAGGATTATTTTTGTTGGAAAAAAAAGATACACAAAAGTTAATGGCACTTAAATAAACATTGAAAGGAAGGGAGTTGATTAGGGAGGGAGGAGAAAACACAGAAAGGAGAAGACTGAGGAAGGGAAGTGCCAATTTTATTACTCTTTCTTTCTTTTTTGGGGGGAGGGGACAGGTGTTTTAAAATGGAACCCCTAGGCTTTATACATGCTAGGCAAGTGCTCTACTACTGAGCTTTAGTCCAGGCTATTTTAGCAAGTAAGCATACTTCAAGAAACAAGGCAAGTAAGTTTCCACCTCTGTGGGGCTTATATTCTAGTGGAATAAAGAGAAAGCAGACAACAATAATCAAAATGTGTAAGACAGTGTTAAGTATTCATGAAAAATAAAGAAGGGGATATGAAATAGGAAAGGCGAAAAAATAAAGATCCAGTGGCCCAAGATTTAAAACCCCGTGGTTTTATAAGTACAAGTTAGAAGGAAACAAGACGGCTGGAGCCAGGTGATAGATGTATGGGTTAGATGCTGCTGAAGTGGTGTTCTAAGCAGGAGCCAGAGGCACCAGAGTTACGGTTAGAGAGATGGCTGGGAGCAGATATGTGAGGTCTTAGGCTGTCAAGGAGAGTGGCTTTTACTTGAAGGATATGGAGAACCTTTAAGGGATTCTGAAGAGGAATAGGGACATCTGGATCATATTTCAAAGAGATCTGCTGGGTCCAAAGGACACAGGGTTCAAGGCAGAGGCAGACCAGTTTCCACAGCACGATCAGCCCCAAACTCAGGCTCAGAGGAAGTGCTAAATACTAGATCAAGCATTTTGAAGACAAAACTGACAAGGGTGGCTGACAGAGGGAAGGACATGAGCAGAGAAAGTCAAAACTAACTTTAAGTGCCAGGAATGGTGGCAAACAGCTGTAATCTCAGCACTTGAAACCAGCCTGAGCTACACAGCAGGTTCAAGGCCAACCTGCACTGCACAGCCAGTAATGGCCATCTTGGACCATACAGAGAGACCCTGTCTCCAAAGAAAAATAAATAAGTGAAGTAACTGAGGTTTCTGGCTGGAACCACGGGGAACCCCAGAGTTGCCAGGAACTAAACATTAATTTGAACATAAACAAGGCTATGGTTTTTTAACAATATTTGACTTGGTCCTGTCAACCAAAAACTAAGGGCAAGTATCCAAAGAACAGAACTCAGCTGAATGGGCCAGCAGGAAAAAGCCCAACCTATCACGGGTACCCTGGAGGGAGGCATAAGAAGAAAACTCTAGGCAGAGGCAATAAAGAAAAACAACAGTAGCAAAAGAAAGGAAACAGTGCCATTCTCAGACCAGAACAGAGATCAGGACAGAACTCAGTCCTAAAAGGCAAGAAGTGCCTCCAAGGCCAGCTGAGGAGGGACAGGCTATGGAAACTACAGCAGGATCTGAGGAAAAAATGTGGCTTTTAGGGAATTTTGATGACCTTGTGGCACGAAGGACAAGCAGAATAGTGGCATGAAGAAAACTAAGATGGGACTTAAAATAGTCTTGAGAAAGGAAAAAAGTAAGAACAGGACAAAAACAAAACAAAACAATCAATTTGAAGATGAGATAAGGGTGAGGTCACAGAGACCTGTGCATATGAGAACCCAGTAAAGGGCAGCAGCCTAGCTCAATACAGGAGGCACATTCTCCACGAGGCACATTCTCAAGACTGCACACCACGTAACTACCAGCTCTGACACAGAGGAAGAGTACAGGAGAGCACGTTAGCTCTTCATTTTCCCTTGGCTACCATAAACAACACATTAGATATTACAGTCTTGCCTTTAAAAACCTTACTTTTAATTTCCCCAGAGTTCAGGTTTAGGTACAATTACTAAGTGAAGCCAACCGACAGAACTTGCTTGCCATTCAAGGGAGGAAATGAAGCCAAATGCCCTATTTAAACTTAGCTTCAAAACCATTATCTTCCAGGTTTCTCAAGGGAATATTGGGCATCAATGCATAAAAACAATACTAAAATAAATTAGGGTCAGTCTTAGAGGAAACAAATTGATGGCTGGAACAATTATACAGATGTTTAGGAAAAAAAAAACAAAAAAGAACCTCATAGTCCCAAACTTGCGCACAAATTAAAAAAAAAAAAAAAAAAAAAAAAAACCTGTCAGCAATTTTATTTTTCCTTTTTCTAACCAGTGCTTTGTTTTAAAATAAATGTATTTATTATGTGTATTTATAGTCCTAAAGAGCTCAAAGAGCTTGCTTACTCACAATTAACCTCTAATTCAAATTCTGTGTCCTAGGCCTTAGAAAATAGATGCTAGATACAGCAAAATAAAGATAGAAGAAGAAAAGTTTCTGTCATCTTAGCTCAAGTCTATGCCCTAAAGAATGGTTTGGAAGACTGAATTAAGTCTTAGGCGGCTGTCTCTCATCTTTTTGTGCCTGGCACCTCAAGCTGGCTGGCTGAGCGCTTTCTGGTTAGTCTGCACAGGATATCCCATGCAGAATTCTGAGGGTTCCAATTTTCTTGGAGCATATTTCATGGGCAACAGCCTTCTCTGAAGCAAAATTCCCATTTACTTATTTCATCTCTCCAGAACTAGGCTGAAAGAAAAGATCCAGACCTAATCAGTCTTCTCTACTTCTATCACCATTAGAATAAACACAAGGACACTCCTCCCCCACCACACACATTGCTTTTTTTTTAAGTCACAAGGACATTTCTGACCATGTGCCATGGAAACCAATTGCTCTTACTATTTCATTTGGTCCCACTCCAATTAAGCCTAAAATTTTTCTCAATTGCAACTTACCTCACTAGTTCTAAAAATTATTCGATAGTTGTATGGAGATCCATTTTCTTTCATTTCTTCTGGTTTTTCCCTTCGAATGCTCACAGCCACTGGACCAAGATTCTCATCAGCCCCAAAATAGTTCCAGTGTTCTTAGGTGAAATAAGATAAAAGATAATTAGAAAATGTACTAACACTTGAAAATGTTATATTGTGCTCAGCATTTAAAATCATCACTCAAAAATTACTGCCTATTAATAAAATGTGGGCAAGTTTAATAAAATTAATAGTCCTCAATGAGTTATAAAAACTAAAGTTACACAGGTTTCCTTCCAAAGGAGAGCACACTGAACAGAAATGGCCTGCTAAATTTTCTACTCTTTGGTGATTTCTAAAAGAAATTTGTGTTTTATCCCTATGAGCCATCATTATCAGGCTACACTGTGTGCAATCCCTAAGAAAAGGTTTTTGGCTTTTATTTAAAATAAACTTCCTGAATCTGCTGAGTACAGAGTTTGAGGATGGGAGAGTATCATCTCCTATGATGATACTGGGTAGGAGAGAAAAGCGAGGTAATGTAAGGGAATGAGCCAGTAGCCTTCTGATTCATGTAAGTTAAGGTGGAGAACTTCAAAGGAAAGAACTGTAGAGGGCTCAGGGAGGCAGGAGCCTAATGGTTTCTATGTAATGAGCACAAAAAGGCTTCCAGAAAACACAGAAGACCTGAGGGAAATGATTGGAGATGGGAGAGTACGTTTCTCTTAGGTGACCAGTATGGCCAGATGAGTGAAGGGTCAACTCTATGAACTCAACTGCCCAGGGCTCCAACTCTTTGCATACCCTTGGGCATAGGAAAAAAGTCTCCAAAGACAGGTGTGGAGTTTATCTTCCTTCTCACAAGAAGGAAAGTGGAAATCCAAATTAACTTATAGAAAATGTTAAACTGATATTTATCAGGCATCCAAGTATATAGTTCTTTAAAAAATTAAAATTGTTGATATGTATATGAGATGTTCACAGATGAGGAAGTTCACACAACATGTATGAAAACTGTTAATAAGTTATTTTACAAACCTCCAAAATATGTTCTTTATATTGTTTTATTTCATTTACATGTAACATGATTAAATGACCAAGTTGTGAAATGGTACATTATTTGCATACAAAATGCATAAATATTTGAGAATATATGTTATTTCCATACAAAATATACAAGTATTTGAAAATCCATGAGAATAATAAGGAATAATATAATATGTCTAATCATATGGCTTTAAAATTTTTAGATAATGTATATATACAGATACTGTGAAAGTATTAAAGCATTGATTAGAAAAATTATCATAAATATAGAGGCTTCTCTAAAAATATTATAATCCATGGAAATTCAAAATAAGAAAACAAAACACAATGGAAATTCAGCCAACAGACATCTCATATGAGCAACTAAGGAACAACCTGATATATGTCACAAAATTCATGTACAAACACTCATGTACATCCTCAAAGCACAGCACATGAGAATCACACTCAGGTTATTTACTCTTACTTTGCACACAATTCTAACAAGCTTGGTTCTCAGGTCTTCAAGCCACAGCTTTATTTCAGAGGTGTGATAAGTCCAGATGTTGACAAAGTCCAGGGTGTAGGGCTGATAGAGACTTGCATGCAGACAGCAATGTGATAGAACAACTGACAACAAGGAAGAAAACAGAAAAGGAGGAGACAGAAATAGTATAAAAAAGCGGACAAGAACTTAAAGAAAAACAAGACAGCAGTCTGGGGCCATTTGCTAATGAGCAAAGTGCTTCAATTAACATACTTAAATAACTTCAGAGGAAATTTAATACAGCAGCACAGAACAACAGTGGATGCTTCAAAAATGAGTAAGAATCATAGTCATTATAGTCATTCCTTACACTTCACAGCTTCCACTGAAACCCAACACCAGCAACTTTTCAAATAATGCCCTGTATGCTTCAGGAATGGAAAGTGGGACTGCTGCTCTGCAGACAGGGAAATTCACAAAAACACAAGGCTATTATCGATTTATCAATAAACTCAACTCATTGTGGTTCTCAAGTGTTTGCAGGGAACCTCACTTTCTCTGCTTCTGCACAGCTAAATGTTTCAAACATTCTCACATTTAGCTACTTTCTCCTCAAACTCACCTAATGACAATATTGTCTACATCACAGAGAAAAGAAGCCAGTTCAGAAGCAAACTTCCCCATTACCCATCGCCATCCTTCTTCCTATAATACAAAGAACCCTAATCTCCACCAGAACCTGGTCTCTGTTCATTCTACCTTACTAGGAATGCTGATGGCTTGATTGTCCTCTTTAATTTCTCCCTTTACATGCTCACTGTCATCATGGCTGGGCTGACGTCTCTTCTTTATTATACAGCTTACCCTTGGCTCCTTATTATTCTTCAGAACTAAAGAGTTATCCTACATTGTCTTTTTTCTTCTTCTTCTTCTTCTTCTTCTTCTTTTTTTTTTTTTTTTTTTTGTACTGGGGATCGAACTCAGGACCTCATGCCTGGCAGGCAGGTGCTTATGCAGCTGAGCTAAATCCCCAGCCCATCTTCTGTTGTCTTTCCTTCCCTGGAAAACCTCTGAAAGAGTTGCCCTTTAGTGCATGGGTCACCATTCAAATTAAAACAAATGGTACTTTTGGTTCTTTACTCAAACTATCCATAATTTCTACCACAAGCAATCAATGGTTTTTCACTCTTACTTCTTGATATCTATTCCATCATCTTCTTCTAATTTTCCTTTAACCATACTTTTCCATCCAATCTCAGAACTTCAACTGCTGATATCTAAATCCTGACCACGTTCTAAAATGTATATGTATCCTCCAGACTTCTCTGAGTGTTAGACCTATCTCTACATCCACCTGATGGAACTCTGTACCATGATGTCTGCAAAAGTGAAACCAGCACCTTCCCATCTATTCTGCTCTCTCTGCAGTCTCTATTCCAGTGACTGTTACTATGTTCACACTGATGCTCAGTCAAGATCCACTGCCATGGCTTGTGCAAGCTACTTCCTAAATATCTCTCAAATCTACTTTTCTTATCCAACCTACTGCCTCTTGCCTTATCCTACTCACTTGAGTGTAATAACTGGTTTGCTTTTATCTAACACATTCACACAAATCTGATGATGCTTCTAACATGCAAATCTGACTGGCCATCATCATTAAAATTCTTTTCTGGATTCCCCAAGGTCCTTGCAGTCTGTTACTACCTTACCACTGCATCCTCACTCAGCTGTTTTTTTCATCCCTCCTCTATACTTGCCTTCTCTTTCAGATGTGCAAATTTGCATCTGAAAAATTCTGCCTTTGACATGCTTCTCACAACTCTTCTTCATTTGACCAAGTCTTCTCATCTTTTAGGTATCATCTCAAGTATTGCTTAGAGAACCATGACAATACTGACACAAAATGAAAATCTTTACTTTGCATAGCAATACCGATACTTAAAAGTATTAAGAACTCATAGCATGAATCACTGAAACCAAATATTTAATATATCTGAAATACAAAAATTTGAGAAATATAATGAAAAAATTTGTAAAAATATAAAATCGACCATTTTAATATTATTTTGCAGATAAAATTAAAGTGTGGTTTTAAAAATGAACACCAACATAAAAACTGAAAATGAAGACTAGTTTGTAAATAAAAACTACAAAATTAATGATCATTTTTTTAGTATCATAATCAAAACTGATAATATTTTTGTGCAATTTTTTCCAGCTACAAAAATAATATATTTTTGAGGTGAGAGAATAGTTATGAAAATTACCTTCATACACATTCTTGAGAATCAATCTATAAACAAAGCCATATCTGGTTTGATAATGCCGAAAAGACCTTGAATGTATGTGTCTGTGTGGAAACACTGATTTTTTTCCTCAATTGAAAAACAGCTCTATTATTATATCTAAAACAGCATTTCCAGTAAGTCTTCATCTATGTCTGTTCTACTGGCACAGATGGAGATTCTGGTTCTGTTTCCTGTGTTAAATTTACTACTATTCACAATCAGATTTTACTTGTTCTAAAAGTCTTCCAATTCGAATAAAAACTGTTCTCACAATGAAAGCCTTGTTTCTGTCCATTCTGTTTCCCTGCTCTTAAGGATTATGAAAAGACAGGCAAAATATCTTTGACACGATCCCTAGTTTATCCAATTCAAAGTCCAATACACTGTGTGCCTTTCCAGTACAGAAGAGTTAAATTCAGAAAGGCACCCTTAAGAGTTTTAGATTCTGATCACAAGAGGAATCAGACAAATTTTACAGTCATAGTCTGGTTCTTCTGGCCACACTTAGCTCTGTCTGTCCTTCAACTCCACTGGAATGCTGTACCTGTAAATCAGTGCTCTGACTTCTGGGCAGTGTTTCTATGCTTGTTTGATACAGTGTATTCTCCCCTACCATACATCTACCTTCATTCCTGGCTAGTGGAGACAGGTATCCATTGCAGGGAGTTCTTCCAGTCAGATCCACAATCAGCACTGTCTTTCTTTCAAGGTAAAAAAAAAAAAATTAGAGGGGAAGGGCAACAAGAGCAGGGGAGTTACAGATGAGGAATGTTAAGCAAAGCAGATTCTGATGAGGAAATTCAGTACGAGGAAAATCAAGAACAAAAGAATAAGGAATGAGATGAGTAAAGCCGACGATGGATGAACTTAAATACTGGTACTGCACCACCTGATACAGTAACATTTTAGAGCCAAACACACCAATCCACTATGTCAGAATGACACAGGGCACAAAGCAAAACACTTTTTCGAACACTCTAATTTTCACTTCAACCACAGGCATTTCTTTCCATTTTTTTTAACAAATGCAGCAACTATGCTTTAGAGATGATGTATCACAAGTCATACGATATTAACAAAATTCAAACATTATTTTAGCTAGTAACTTCAAAGCTATTTTGCTCAGTACTTTTATATATCATTGTGTTCCCCAAAACTTCCAAAATTTTATTAATAAAAATAATAAAATAAAATTTATTGCCAAAAGGGATACACTGTTTGTCTAGTCAGATCACATATAATGATGTACTACACAGGCAATGTTTTTCTGTGTTGAAAGAGAGAGGTAGTCCTTTCCTAGTTCCACTGGTCA